ATTAATTTATTGCACTTGCCGGACTCTAAAAAGACAAGAGAAGAATATCAATTTCACATATTGCTCATCTCTGAGAGACGAAAAATTTTACTTTTTTTTTTTTCATTAAATTTATATTCTATCTCGAAGTGTGAAAAAAAGCATTAATTTAAATATAACACAACAAAATTATATATTTGTTTTACAAATCGAATATCGCATAAATTTGCACGTAAGGTATGATAAATAAATTCGACGGAAATTCAATGCGTACCTGTCAAAAACAGAATTAATGCAATTAGTTGCAATTAATTCCTACAAAATAACCTCTAGAAAAGCGGGACCAATAACGAACATTGTTGAACATTCTACAACTGTACGATTTATTCATTGCCGAATTACGTATTTACAAAATGGTCCGATTATAATTTTCGTAAACGAGACAGAGAGCGCGCGCGGCACATTAGTTGTATGCAAAACGTAGAAACGATATTTTAACCAAGTTTGCGCGCGCACGCTATTAATACAAACGATATTACGTTTCCGTAGCAAGGTCGTGTTCGATCGAGGATTATATCGCGCGCGATGTTTCCCGCGCTGACCGCGCGTTTCAGGATTCGCACACACAGGCAGAAAGACCCCGCGGAGACGCTTAATAAGCATTGTTGGCGGGGCCCGATCGTGGGTTAGGTGGGAGTCGGGGCCCGGAGCACGTCCCACGGCCATCCACGCGAGCTGCCTTTCTTCAAAGATAGCGCGCGCGCGTTCCCTCTTATAAACCTATGTATCTACTTTATACTGTAAGTTCGAGCGGGATAAACGAGAACGCGAACGAGGCGCAAAGACGCGCAAATAGCAAGGAGGAGGTGGAGGAAAGAGAGAAAAGTAGGACGAAACGAGCGCGGAAGATGAAGGAAGTATAGATAACGCGAGAGAAGAAGATGCATATCTCTCTCTCTCTCTCTCTCGAAAGAGAGAAGAAAGGGTGTAATAGAGAAGAAAAAAGAAAGAGAGAGAAGCGCGGAAAGCGTGGAGGGAGATGAAAGGTGAGCTATGTCGAAGAAGAGAAAGACCGCAGGGGTTGTCTGGGATCTTCTCTAAAAATGATTCACAGCCTCCGGTAATTTACATTCGCTTGCGTGGGTGATCGTCGACTTTCGAGGAGGAGAGAGGAGACGAACGGAGGGGGGCCGCCGGCTAAACTCTCCTCTCCGCCGCGACTGCCATCGAAAAGGTTAAACATACACCCACCAGAGGTCACGTATCCATCGGAGAGAAAGACCGCTTGTGAGAGAGCTACCTTTCCCCCCTCTTCAGAGAGGCAACCTCTATGGCCGTTAACGTGAACGTATACTTTGCGCGCATGCAGAACGGACGCGGTTCGCGCGCAAGGACAAAAGAGAGAAGAGAAACAAAGCTGAAATCCACTTTGGATTTCACGGACTGATTGACGGATCACACGCGTAAGAAGTTTGCAGAAATTGATTTCGGGAAGAATAGCAACCGCGCACAGTCATCGCTATCGTTATCGATAGCGGATCATTTCGCATCATTTTCGCGATATTGCTAATTAGTTTCCCGATGCTCCAAGTTATATAGAATTTCGATAAAGCATCTCTTTTTTTTTTTTTAATTTAATTTAAGTCAAGTATCTCGTTTCGATATTATATCATCGGAAATTTAAGCACGTCTTCGCACAACACACGCAATAAATAATTAATTTCCGGCCTTCTCTTCTCCTCTTCTCTCACTTCTCGCTAAGGAAATAAGATAGAACGCGTTTGTAGAATTCGCGAGAGAACATCATTATTACTCTCTATATACCTACATTACGCACGCATCAAACCGGACAAAGCGTGTGCAAATAATCAGAATCGATTCTATCGATCTTGATTGTTGCCTCTTTTTTTTTTTTTCAGCGACGCTGAAAATTGGACGTCTCGGTGACGTTTCTCGGATGTGCTTCTCGATTCATGTCGTACTTGTATAGCTGTCATCGCGGTGACATGTTGTGTCCACTGACTGGAATACGTTGAAACAAAAATAATAGCGCGCGCCTGTGTTGTGTTAGAAAATTTGCAATCCATAAAAACGGTCGTTTATATGGACGAATAAGAGAGATGGTTAGAGACAACGCGAACGGAACAGACCGGAAAGAGTGAGACTGAGAGGGAATAAGAGTTAGGACGGTTAGGTGGAGAAGAAGCGGAACTCTCTCGCCTTCGGCTTCGGCACGACGCGTTTCAGAGACACGCGTAGATTCAAACCAGGAAGGTTGGAGGGGGGGCGAAGAAGAGCAGAAGGGCGGTGGTGCGCGAGAGGAGAGAGGAAGGCTTCTCCCTAAAATATGTGTTACCCACGGGCAGCACTCGGACTCTTCTCGTTACATCCCGCTGGACGCTCCGGGCGTATACCGGGTCCGCCATGCCGGCAGAGAGAGTCTGTATATCGTATGATACAAAAACATCGCATTATTTTCTTCTCTCTCTCTCTCTCTCTCTCTCTTTGGACCGCGCAAGAGAGGCGCGCACCCTCCGCGCGCCCGCCTTCTTCTTTGCTCTTCTCCTCCGCGAAGCGCCCGCGGGCATGTGACCACCATTATGCCCATCCTCGTTCTCCTCCTCTGTGTCCCGATCTTCTCGTTCGCCTTCTCGTCCTCCTCCGCAACCTCTTTCCTTCGTTCGTGTCTCGTTCACTTCCCATTCCGCCGTGTGAGTCTCGCGATATCTTCTGCCACAAATTACGTATCCGCTAATAAGCGAAATCGAAACAGAAGAAGAGCGCGACGCTCTTACCCGGCATCGCCCGGCTAAAAATTGATTGCGACCGCAATGTTCGCCTCAAAATAATCTCTTCTTTCGTTTCCGGATTCCCCGAATCTTTTTTTTTTTTTTTTTCTGAAATCAACCGCGGTGCCATCGCGGTGAAAGGCGCGTTACAAAAAAAAAAAAAAACAGGTGTAACGGTGTTGTCTTTATTGAGCGGAACATGTATTTTTTGTCGACAAAAACTATAGTGAAAACAAAAAAAAAACGTATATTGTTCCTCGATGTGTGTCGTGAGAAAAAACTGATATTTAAGTTTTAACACAACGTTGCCGAAATTCATCGCGAGTAAAATTATAATCAGAAACAAAGCAACGATAGATACGAATCAAAGCGATGAAAAGACATGAAAGATCCATCTTTGTCCGTTACGATAAAATCCACTTCAAAATTTATCGTCCATTGTATTTAACGTTTACGTCGGTTTTCTCACACTCTTATTGTCAGGTTTAAAAAAAATACTGTACATGTAGATCTAACAATGTGATAAAAAAAAAAAAATCTAACGCGCGTGAGATGCACGATATAGTATACAGCTATACCGCTTGTTGTGTGCGTTATTGTGTATATTGTACGTTCGGATGCGCGCGGTTTTTTTTTTCCAAAAGCGAGAAATTGTCTCTTCTCTCATAGATGTTCGGGAGACGTCCCGTAATTGCCCGGCGGCAAAACGCTCGAGGTTAAAACGGCAGAAACGAGCCGCGAACCAGGCGAACGTTAAAATGAGTCTCGAAATGGCAAAGTCGCCATTCCCTCCCCCTCGTCCGTTTGTTCGTCGCGTCCGTTGGCCGGATCAACATATATATGAGCATCACTTTGTCCCTGACGAAGTTGGCGTTTACGTATGCGAGCAACATCGTCCGGTGGGTTTGGAAGTGCCCGAGGCATTCTGAAACGATGTTGTCGGCCGTGGCCGTTTTGGCCCCGGGGCAACTCGAATACGACAGAGAGACCGAGGCCCGAGAGCTTGGTTCCCCTTATATCGACTCTCGCCAACTGTTCCATTATTCTCGATGGCCGATGGCCAATCGTATGGACGGAGGTACCAATTGTAGTTTTGCGAAGACGAAATTCTCGATCGCGAAAGCCTCGATGAAAGCGTCGTGTTTTCATTTATTCGCGTCGGCAATGTCGCAAATGTTCAAATAACGCGTCGGAAAAGTTTCAATTTTTTTTTCACATTCTTAAAATTTTCTCGATCTGATTATAAAAAAAAAAAACAGATAATCTTATACATAATAGCAAATTCAGAGTTGAAAAAGAAACGTATGTACTTTTCTTCTTACTTCTAAATTACAAAATATCATTATTTGCATTATATTTTTTTATGTTTGTGTAACATGATTATAAGTGTAAAAATTATTACTAATCACTCACAAAAAAAAAAAAAAATACAAATTCTATGATCTAATGCCCGATATTGCGGAGAGGATTGCGTGTTGCGATCGCAAAGGTCGTCTCAAATCTTATATCCTGTTCTGGTGTATTTATGTAACACCGCAATTACACGAATATACCTGACGGCTAATGATTATAAACCTGATACGTCAGCAACCTCATTACTTTTTCAATAAAGATATACGACGGTTTATTAATTTTGACACTCTGTTTTAAATATAACAACACACAAAATCTTAGTAGCTAAAAATACGATAAATTATTGGCACTTTTCATCAGTTTGTGATTATCGTTATTGAAGCTTGTCGCAAAAGCTGGTCGCGAATCCTGCGTCCTGTTTCGAACAAGCTCAAAACCTGGAGATACTACGTCAAGTAACTATATATATATATATATGTATATATGTATTTTTGTTCATCCGGGAACCATGACAGAAACTATAAATGTATTGAGCGCAATCGCCACATCCCCCGACACAAATAGTTAAAGTGTTCCGGGTGACGGGGGTTGAAATCGGCGCGCGTTGGCGAATGCAGTCCGAGAGAGCGGAGAGAATCGTCATAAGCTCCGAGGCACTTGTCGAAACGCCGCGAGCCCGTGAGACAGAGACACCGTCGACGTGGCTCGACGGGAAGGACGAGGACGACGAGGACGGTGAGATGGCCAGGAATGGCGTGGTGGTGGCGATGGTGGTGCGGAGGTGCCGGTGGTGGTGGTGGTGGTGGTGGTGGTAGCGGAACCAGCGCGAAGGACTGCAACAACGGAGAGCGCACGCAGTCTAACGAAAGCCGCGGTGGCGCGCGCGCGGCACGCGCCAACTTTTGTCCCTCGGTCGAAGACACGTGAATGCCAACCACGTGGTCCGGTGCGTGACACAAAAACTGGAGTTGGTCGCGGGAGTGCCGTCCAGGTGCTTCGTAAAAAACAGTGACAGATTCAAATCGCGATCGCGACGGGACTCCGGGTTTTCGCAATCCGCAGCCGTGGACACGAGAACAACCGTCAACCTGGAGCCCACGTGCCAGAAACGGTGAGCGAAACTGTCTCTTACTTGAACGACACGTTCGTCTTTATTTTTACAATCGCAACGTGCGCGCAATGTGAGTATAATTTTTCAGACAGGTTTTTCATCGCGAACACGGTGGTCAAAAATCACCAAAAAGCGACAAAAAAAAAACGCAATGAGATGATTTATTTCTATTTCCGTATTTGTTATTACGTAATTCAGCAGATAACAAAACCGTTTATTAAGCAAATTATCAATTTAATCAATAAATCCAATAACTTCTCACGTACGCGGAAATGTCGGAGGAGAAATAAAGTTGCTCGCGAACGGAATTAACGTCATGCGCGATTCCAAACCGCAACAACCGATTGCACAGAACGGAGTTATGATCGCGCTGACATAAATTACAGTTCGCGATAATTAAACACGGGAATATAACTACCGTGCGAGCTGAACAAGGATATAAAACTCGTATATTTGTTTTATTTGTTACTTCGTTAAGTGTATACTCCCGGAGAATGCACACTTCTTGTCGCATAAAGAATATTTATGACGAGTTTTTTTTTTTTATCTCGATTATATTAAATCATTTTGCGTTACGCGAACTTTCGTCGTGAGTGAAAAGATTCGTTCGTTCGTTATAATGCAATTTGTGTTTCTAAGTTTACGTAGGTTTCACAAGTTTCACGAAATATTTTTTGCCAGATTAAAGACTTCCGGAAAAAAAAAAGAAAGTTTCGATAATATCTATCTCGTAATACAAATATTTCAAGACGAGTGCAGCAACTCGTCTGGTAGAAGTTTGTTTCTGTCTGTGGCCATTGTGTGCGCTACATGTGTACAAGAGATAAATCTGAAACACATCGCGTGACAAACTGATATTTATGAATAGAAATGGTGTACTTTCACGTAGTTAATTTTATATCGCTGGTAACTGGCGGCCAAGCGTTCCGGGGGCACGGAACGTACATACTGTCTAACAAAACTGCAGTGAAATTTGAAAAACTGATATTTCTTTTTTTTTGTCTGAAATATATCAAACTCTCGTTAAAGCGCATCGGTTCAGACACACGAAAGAAAAAACTGAATTTAATTAAATTAATTTATTATAATAATTACTCGCCGACTTATTTAATTAATTTAATTAATTTATTATTATAATTAGTCGCCGACTTTTATAATCCGAGTTTATTTTATATATTAACAATTATATTAAATATTGCGCAAATTGTACTTTTTTTTTGTAGTTACGCTTGTATCAGTGGAAATTGTTCAATATTTCGACCCTTTTAAGATTTCAAGATGTTAATCTTTCAAACGTCCTTGTAATATCTTGTAGATGCCTATATTGTGCAGTAATTTCCCTCCGCGAGAGAATACTACACACAAGCCGCAGACAGACCGGATAATCACACGCGTATGCACACCGTCCGTGGGGAGCACGATTTTATACGATTGAGCTAACGTTAAGCCGATAGAAAGTCAATCTGATCTCACGACGATCGCGGGTAAAGAAAGTTTAATCTATGCCGGATAGCCGAGAGGGTGTTAGTGCGCCTTTAGAAACGCATATATAGAAACGCGCGAACACGGGACAATCTAATTGCTCAATCACACGTCGCATTCCGCCATCAGCGAACAATGGTTTACGATCGTTTATGCACTTCGCGTCGCGAATATAATCGCGCACAATACGAAAGGAGGAGGTTTCTAGAAGAGAGAAGATTGTGTGTAAAAATTAACATATTGCTCATTCACGTCCAGACAATTCTATTCTGTGTCTGTAAAAATAGAAGATAGAAATAACGGTGAAGATCAAACAACCAACGTAGAAATTTCGATAAACGACAAGAAAAGATAATTAATTCTTTATTTAAAAATAAATTGTTAATTCAAAAAAAAATTGTTAATTCAACGTTAAATGATTATGGAAACCTCTAATGTTTTTTTAAATTCTTCACAAACTTTAAGTTTTCTTTCAATTCATCAACTTGATTACCAATAATTTCAACGCGCTTTGGCGCGTGAGATCGATCCGCGGAGTTGCAGAATTTGCGTTGAATCAGGATTGATGGATCGGCGCGCTTCTTCTCTTGACACAATGAACCACGGAATCCGAGAAGAGAAAAACTATACCGGTTCGTTAAGGTAGCTGAACACTTGAAACAATTGGCTATTATACGCGAAAAAACGAGTCGAAAACACAAGCGTTCGCACAGGTTACAGCATGCAATTTCTACAATTGCGATCAATCAACGAAAAACAACGTAAGTTTATTTGACGCGTTATAAAAAATTTCTGAACGAATTTGAATCTAGTCGGTGTCGCATTTTTTTTACACCGACGTTTTTCGTAGACATTTCAGTTCACTCTTCATTATCAGAGTTTCTGATACGTGATATCAGGTTGCTTTTGAATTCTGATGACAAAGTGAACTGAAACGTTCGCAAAACGTTTGATGTAAAAATGACATTAACGCGGCTCAAATTCGAAAGAACTGTTTTCGCGTGTGAAACAATATAAATCTGTGGTCGTCTAATTAAAGCATTAGTCTACAAGAGTATAAATTTTCAAATTTATCAATTGTTACGCGCGCGCGCGCTAATATATCACACGCTTCGTAATTTTCTCTCTCACATTTCTTTCTTAAATACGTCAATGTGATTAATTGCGAATCAATACGCAGTTGCACCTCGCGTTTATTTTATGACCCAGCGGCACCACTCGACTAAACATAAATAATTTACTCACGCATCTCGAGTGTGAGCGACGCGGTACACCGCGCGGTGTCCGTGTACAACCAGTTGTACAACCGTTACTTAATTACACATATACTCGTAATAATATGTAAAACAAAAAAAAGAGAGACGTCTAATCGAGAATCTCTCTCTCTCCTTCTTTCCCGTACACACAGACCTAATTAACACCGATGTTGCGCATCTCTCGTTCTCTCGTTGCGCGCTAGTCACGAGAACTCGACAGTTCGAGAGCGCGCAGCAAAACTCTGTTTACTTCTCCATGAACGCGCGCGAGTTGTAGAGAGCCGCAAGAAAAAAAAACATGTATATAGACCGTGGAAACTTTTCAAAAATTGGTTGCAATGTAATAGTCGATGTGTATACCTCGAGCTACAAAAAGGGAGGGAGCGAGAGAAGGAGCGTGTGCGGAACGCGGAGGACGAACGGTCGAGAAAGAGTGAGAGAGAGAGAGGGAGAGAAAGAGAGAGAGAAAGAGAGAGAGAGAGAGAGAGCGTGACTGAGAGTGGCAAGGGGCCGGAGGGAGAGGAGGATTGCTAGCATTTCAGAACGGATGTGGGCTCTGTGGAAATTGTGCTGGGATAGGAAAAGGGAGGTTGGAAACCGGCTGGAGGGATAGCCGGGGGCGCAGACGCGCGCTCTGCAGTTGCCGTAATTAGAACCGTGCGCCCCGAGCACATAGCCCGCGGCTGACGAGTCTCCTGCGGACCAAAATTATTCATGAAGCCGCGCCACCCACGGCGAAATTTTCTCGTAAATATTTTGCCTCGTCCGAGATATCGCCCCGGATGTACGTGCGCATATATATATATATATATATTATATATATATAATATATACATGCATACATATATGTGTGTTTGCGCGAAACGGAACGAATAAAAGAACTGACCTTTCGCGATTCTCTCGCGGTCGTCATTAACACGGGAAACGAAATCGAAAGAAACTAATCGTTAACCCTTCACGCCGGAAGTCGCAATCGCGCGGTCAACGATCACACACGCAAAGCGATTTTAATTGCCTCGCGCGTATTAAGCCGAGTTTTTTTCCTTATATGGTGTAATGAAGAAAATTTTGTAGCAAACAAAAATTTCGATCTTGTTTGTATTTCGGACAGAGAGATGTTCATCCTTCTCCTGGTTACACATTGTCACTAGATATGTCAATATCGTGATGTTAAAAGTGAAAAAAAAAAAAAAAATATTATCAAGCCTATGTTGTCACACATTGTCACTAGATATGTCAATATCGTGATGTTAAAAGTGAAAAAAAAAGAAAAAAATATTATCAAGCCTATGTTTGTTAAAATCTCTTTGAGTACAAATACACGTAACGATGTATATTGCATTGTATGAAATATATGGAAGTTTTCGGATCGGTGACTACACATTAAAACCTGCAATTTTGCAGGTAATGTATGTGAAGCGCTTTATGTAAATAAAAAATACAACACAACCCGAAACAATCGACTCTTACGTTGGAAATGAGCGTTGTCATGGATACAGCCTACAGCAAAAATAAATTCGTATACCGATACGCGTATTATATCCTTTCGTGTATTAAATTAAAATTCTACTTGACAATTGTGTAAATAAATGGTCGCTCGGCCCTCACGGTCGTCACTAATACGCTCTCTCTTATTTGTTTTTGTTGTCCTACATTTAAGACAATATAACAACAAACATTATAAAAATCAATTGAAGTTGCACTTATACTAACAATTTTTGACAATAACGCATTTTCAATTGCATTAAAATTTATCCTCTTTGCGTTGTTAAGCAACCAGTTGGATAGTTAGCAGCACGCGTTACGCAATTTCTCGATGTGTGAATTGTGAAAAGAATATATACATATGCATATATATATGCCATTGCATTATATAATTCTTTGCGAGACGTGAAAATATATTTAATAAATTATAGTTCTTGTGTGCAAGACAGAGTCTTGTTAGTAATCTTTGGACTTCTGAGAAACCTGTTAAAAAAACGTTATTTTTTCACAATGTATATACGTGTATCATATACCTGTTCCACAATTTATTATTTATAAATATATTGTGTCAAAATCTTAAATAGTTTTTTAATCTCTTAACAACGCGGAAAGAAACAAAGTCGTCCAAAGTGCTGTTGCGTTACGCGCAATGTGCGCGCTAATTTACACTTCCGCGCCGCGTACGCGCGGTTCTAAAATCTGACCGTGTGTTAGGTGCACACCTGGTCAGGTCGCGGCGACTATAATACGTGTTGCAATATATAACTCGCGTGTGTT